TTTGGGTTTGTTTACAAGTGCCATGTTTTAGGCTTATAAAGCTTTACAGCAACCCACTAGATTATTTGAGAAATTAAGCTTTCACAGGAATTCTTAATCTTTGAATTGCTGGACTGGGCATGTCTTAAAATTGTCAAATCTTAAAACAAGGCTGTTTGTCGTGTTTTATTAGATTGTTGTCAATTTACAGTGTGTCAGTCTGACTCACTGGAGTGAGATTGCAGGCATAAGCCCACATTGTCAATGTAGTGGCTTTTTGTTGCCCTTCCTAGCTTTGTGATAAAGCAGCCCAACTAGTTTTGCTTTCTATGAATTATCACGTAAAAGTTTCTTCTTCACTGTCTTGAATGAAGACTGTTGGTGCATCCTGTTCTTAACTTAAGATAGTTGTAATGGGTTTAAAGAAATGCAAGCACACCTTTTTTTTTTTCACAATCGCAGAGGAATAATGAGGTGCAGTCAGACCGTTCTACACAGCGCTGTGCCAGTGCTGAAAAAAAAATAATGCTACTATGCAAAACTAACAATTCAAAATAGGAACCAGCAGTTAGTAATGACCTTCAGCACTTTTTTTCTTCTCTTATCCTTAAAGGAATAGTCTGGCAGTTTTGCAGCTTTGCATATTCGTTTTCTCACTGAGAGCTAGGTGAGATGATAGTGAGTGATACTTCCCTCATATCTGTGGATTAAGATAAACCTAGTCTTGCATAAAAACTGGGAATAGCAAGAAACAACTGCTGAGTCTCTCAAAAGGTAACGAAGTCCGCCAACCAGTACCCTCGATCAGGCCAGCTGATCCAGACTAGCTGTTACCTCCTGTTTCCAGTCTTCGTGCTGAACTAGTAGAAGCAGCATCAATCTTCACATCAAGAGTGTTTCTTTCCAAAATCTGCTTCAGATCAACGAGATTAATGTTCATATGAATGAAAACTCGCATATAAATCACCTAAACACAGAATGTGCAAGATTTCACTCAGGAAATAACTTTGTCTCTCAAAGCGGTTTCTCTATTATTTAATGGGAGTGAGCCCAGACTGTTGCTGCAGCAGTCATGGAAAAACAATCACAGCTTCACAGGCTTTTTTTTTTTCAGAAGGCGACAGACTTTAAGTGCTGAAGGATCCTGGGACCTCTGGACACCCGGCTGCACTGTGTGTGTCCATAAGGTTTCATAATTAAAGTGGGTCCACTCAGAGAATGACTCACTGTCCAGTTACTGTGGACGCCTCACATTAATTGTCTCTTTATTAACTTCAAACTACAAGAGAGGCCAGACGTATTCAGCACCTTTATTCTGCTGTCAAGGCACGGTATGATGCTATTGTCGCTGTCATCGAGCAATTTATGAATGAGAGAAAAGTGCTTGTTGATGAATAGGCTATTATCTGTTGAAAGAGGTGAACAGTCGCAATGAACAATTTCTAAAGATTTGGTCATTTTCTACAGGGTCGTTGCCCTTTGCAAATTGGCAGTAATTCAAACATTCACGCCTCTCTTTCCATGTGTAAGCACGTCTGTAATCGTATGAGTGCGTTTGCACGTATGAAAGAAGTCACTGACCCTTTGAGTTTGTTGTGGGAGATTAATTGCTTTCCAAAGATCAGGCGCAGACTCCTGCAGGCTGATGCTGACATCTCCATAAAGCTGAGGAAAGGGGAAAAACTAGAAGTCAGAGTAACAGCGCAATCCTCCTAAAAGCCACATCTACAGATTTATTGCTGCTCAGGGAAAAGAGAAAGAGGCCTCCATGTGTCCGCTAAAGAGAGTCAGGCTGCCTTCGCGGTTTACCTGTCCACCTGCCTGCTGCAAAGACAGACATACCTGTACAGTCAGCAATCATCTTTATGAAAATGGCATACAAGGGAGTGATAATCTGTGTTTTTTAAATTAGCAGACCCAAAAGGAATCTTGTTAGGGCCTTTGGTGTCTGGTTTTGCCTTCAATCTCGGAGTTTAATGGTATGTTTGGCTCGTTTCTCGGCTTCCTCCTCTTATTCTTTCATCTCCTCTCTTCACTCGGCAGCAGACTGCAAACTTCAGTGTTAGTAGCTACTGTTGCTAATAAATACAGAGGGCCTTCAACCTTTATCCAGACAGAGATCCCCAGGAGAACGGCACAAAAACAAATGGCTTGTCTCAACGATGACAACTCACATGATGAAAAACTACAGCTTACAGTCCTATACAACAATCTGGTCTCAGCTGCGTGCGAATAAATTGTGTTAGGAACCAGTTCAGTGTGTGTGTTGGCTTTACGTTAAACATGCTTGAATGTCAGGCTGCAGAGATATGTACTGAGAACTGCTCTGTGACAGCTTGTGAGTCCCGTCCTGTCCTCCTCGTATCGGGAGGATGTTGAGAGGTTAAACAGAATCACATCCAATCTGGCCAAGGACGACCTGCTGGGAAGGTCCCTGCTTAATTTGTCTTCCCGCTGCTTCGCGATTGGCCCTTTGCCATACTTTAAAGTGAATCCGAACAGTCAAAATGTCTCTCTCTCTTTTGCTCCTCCATCTCTCATTGTCAACACATGGGGTAGAAGGCAAATGGTACAAAGGATGAAGCTGGATGCCTTCAAATTTGGCAGTGAGGATAGCGACAATGACAGAGCCTCCCGATGTTGCATTAAAGCAAAAGGAAACAGGAAGCACACAGCTGAGGTCAATCCTAGTACGATATTAAAAATATTTTTCTCCATATTTTCATCTCTTTGGCAATTTTTAAAAAATCTATATATACTTTATTTTTGTATTTTGTTTTTACAAGGAACATAAATGTACATCCTGAGGAACAGGCAGGACACCAGGGGAGGCACAATACAAAGCATCTTTTCTGTAGTCATTTCTTGAGTTCAGGGCTACATTTACAACATTCCAGAGAGAATAAAGGTGAAAGGAGGATTCAACAGGGTCTTGAGTGTGATTTGAGTTCAGTCCATATCATCCTTAGTCCACATTACTCTTGAGCACATACAGAGTTTCTCTTGATACAGAAAGGGTATTCATAGGTGACAAAAAGATAATAATGATAATAAGTATGTTGTAATAATTGTTACAGGGGAGAAAGAAAATGTAACATATTATGTTAACATAAAAGGTCTTATACAGCATTCATGTACATCACCTATTTGGACCAATACGTGTCAAATGTATCAGCACAAAGTCTAAGAGAGAACGTCAGCCTTTCCATAACAAACATCTCCTTTACAATTGTTACCCACTCTCTTTTTGTTGGTCGCTCTTTGTTTAGCCATTTCCTCGTGATTGCTTTCTTGGTGGCGACTAGTAATATTTTAAGGAGGTATTTGTCTGGGGTGTTTAGTTTAGTTGGTAGATTTCCCAGGTATATTGTACAGAAACTATGTTCAATCTCAGAGCCCAGTATGGCATTTATTTCTGATGTTATTTCTCGCCAGTAAGATTGGATTACTGGGCAATTCCAAAATATGTGGAAATGATCAGCTCTCTTTGGTAATTTTAAACCTCATTTGGTGAAGTAACTGATACCTTGGCCTTCATCAGACAGAAGACAGTTTATCTTTCATCTTTACCACAGTCACAATGCATTAACAATCCATGCACATACGTTCTCCAAAATGAAATGTCATACTTAGGCAATAACCCTGCTGTCCAGTCAATTAATCCTTTTTCATCAGCAGTCTAAGAAAACAAATCACAGTCTACAATCACATGGTCGTGTCAGAAGATGAAGATTTTTTTTACTTTCAATGGGGTTGGATGACTTGACATGCAGTTCAGTAGCTAAAAGGGGAATTACACACTATAGGTATGATGAAAACATGCTACTAGTGAAACATAAAGAGCTACTGAGGGTCAAAAACTTAGATCTTGCTTCCTTACAGTTTTGTCATACTCTAAAAAGCAATATCACTGCATCAATTATGCACGTGCCTTCAACAAATATGGATTTAAAAACATCTTAAGGCTGCTTAGATTGGTCATGAGTTGCCTTTGAGACCTTTAAACCTCAATAAGCTCTGTTTTATCTCTGTCTGTTTCTGAGAACGTTATAAGGAAACATTTGATACCGTACTGTACACACAGTGGTGGGAGATGAGTCATCACTCCCCCAAGCAGCTAGTTAGTAAGCACATCAGGCACTGTGGGAGACAGCCACAGCAAGCACCTGATCATAAAGTGAAGGCTCATGACACCACTAAGTGCAGATTTATAAGCGCTCCATCATTAAAAAGGCCCCCATGAGTTCAGAAAGAAAAAAAAAAAGATAAAGACAGACTGCCACGGGCTGAAATCTAAATCTGAGGTCTGTGCTGCCATCTGCTGTAGATGTGTTTCTGCAGTGATGAAATTGTGATGGTCATTTGTCACTGTTTTTTGATGATTAACTGAAATAGGTATTCTGTAGATTTATTGATAATAAAAACAATAATTAATTACAGCTTTAATTTTATACTAGTAGCTGCCACCAAACCAAATAACTACAAAAAAAATTTTTAATAAAAGAAAGAAAAATCTTAGTATTTTAAATAACCACTTAAAAGGGTGTAAAGAAGTGTCCTCTGACTTTAGAGATTCTTTAATTGGTGATGGAACTTCTAGAGAATCATTTTAGACGCACAAAACAAAACTTGAGGAGTAATTTTTGTTAGGTTTTTGTTTTTTCTCCATCACAACCTTCAGGCTGTTCAGCTCACACAGGTGCAGCAGAGGATCCAGGTGTTATTCATCACTAAATCACTGCCAGACTCATACAAAAGCAGTGTTCTGGGTTTTAGGGTGTAGCTCCTTTCTCTGTCTGAGGGAAGCGCAGAGTACTGGTGAGTGTTTAGTTGTTTATTTAAGGTTGATGTGAGTGGGAATGAGTTTATTATTTGTTCAATTGAGCATTATAAGTTGGTGTTGGCTCTAATGCTCCCAGAAGCTGAAGCTATTTAACCTCAATGCCCCAAATTAGACCTTTGTTTCAAACAGCAGGATCACAGTCTTGATTGCATTTTATTTCTTTGTTCTCAGGCTCAAAATGTCTGGCCGAGGGAAGAAAGCTGCGCCTAAACCAACAGCTAAAACGTCCCGGTCTACCAGAGCTGGGGTCACCTTCCCAGTGGGCCGAATCCAGAGGATGCTCAAGAAAGGCCACTATGCGGAACGAGTTGGCACCGGTGCTGGAGTTTACCTCGCAGCTGTCCTGGAGTACCTCTGCGCTGAAATCCTAGAGCTGGCAGGAAATGCTGCCCGTGACAACAAGAAGCAGCGCATCGCTCCTCGACACATCTTGCTGGCGGTGAAAAATGACGATGAGCTCAACAACCTTCTGGCGGGGGTCACGATATCAGAGGGTGGTGTCATCCCAAATATACAGGCCACCCTTCTCCCTAAGAAGACCAAAGGACCCAAGGATGACGGTTCCAAGGATGTCGAGTCTCAAGAGTTTTAATGTGAATGTTACCTGTTACAGAGTCTCTAACTTATTATTAAAGAGTTGTTTTTTAAGTATGTTTGTCTTGACACTTGGGGGTGTCTTGGTAGCTGCTAGAAGGAAGAGCAAGTTTCTCAAAATTTGCTTAACTTCCTAGTTTCCCTTCACATGTCAATTACAATTGCATGCCAACAGGCCCAACCACTGATTCAGCATCTCTATAGTTGCAGATGGCAACTAATTGCAAGGGAATTTGGAGTTCTAACTTGATCATGCAAATCTGAAATTTGGCAGGCCTGTGAAAGATGGCATCTACCTTGTCGTGGACTAATTATTCAAAATTTCAGAACGTCTGCCAAAGCTCTAGAACTCAAATCCCACTACTGGTTGCAGCCAACAAGTATTTGTTGGCTGTGAAAGACTGAATAAAAATATAAATGTAGCCCAGGACTGGAATGCTCAACTCGGTTTGTCCACTGAATAAAAAATACATGTTTACATTTTTGCTCAACAGAACTTCCTGAGGTTGACTGTGGCCAAGTTATCTGACAAGTTTGTGTTCCTGCTAAAGCAAACAGTCAGTTAATTGAGAAATGATTGTCTTCATGACAACCTTGACCTGGTTCACTGCTTTGAAGAAATTATTGCAACTGAGTGATAGAAAATCATTTTTTTTGATTTTCTTTGTACAGTATATCAACTCATGTATTCCCTGTGGAGAAGAATAATTACACAACACCCTCGTTGTAGATCAAATGCATGTTAAAGCTGAATATTCACGGAAACGTTAAAAAATGTCGCCCTTTTTGCAGCCTTTTGTAACAACATTGTGTGTGTTGAACGCACCCCGTCGTGGGAACGACGTGCTGACGTAGGACGTGTGAACAACAAACAGTTGTTGGACTTCAACAAGCTAGCGAGGGGCAACGCTAGACAAAAACAGGTCCAGCTGACTTCTCCCGGGGAGAGACACGTCTGCTAGACCCGGGCGGTCGGAATACCTTACACAAAATCTCCTAATAATTAGCACTGTTAGCACCGGCACGGGTTGTCCCGGCTCGGTTCCCTAGCGCGAACGTTAGCCACCGAAACATGCTCATTGCTCGGAGTGTGACGCCTGATTTTTTTCTCGCCGCCGCTGGTCGAGGCTTGTGATGCGAGCCGAGTTGCAGCACGACAGAGGGTGAGACAAGAGCGGAATATATCTTTTCTGGACACGGAAGAATGGACTTTGTCGCGGAGAAACTGACGGGCTCACTCAAAGAAGCAGGCATGCGACCGTACACGGGCCTGGACGTCGTTGTTGGACAACAACTTTAGCAAGCTAGCAAGCGTTAGCTCGCTTTAATTCAAGCAGATGAATTGGTTCGGTGTCGGACAGTAAGCTCACTTTGCTTTGCGTAATGGAGGCACCCTGAGTGACTTATTCGTTCCAATTGATTGTCCTGGTCCTCGTAAATACTGCTGGCAATGTGCTGACGACCGGGAGCAATAGGACACGGTTTGCAGAAATTATCAAGAGCTGGTTACCTGCCCGGGTAATAGTTCAACAAAGTTCCTTCGTGTGGTCTTCAAATAATTACTTAATATCTATTTCATGCAGATATCACATATTTATTGCATTGATATTTGTGTGAAATTGCACTTTAATTACTTGATTTTTCATGCACCAAAGTCACCTGTAATTTAGGGTTTGATAACTATAATTTATATGAACCCCAATACGAGAAACAAGTAAACATATAACTTTCTCATTGCACTTGAATATAATTTGGTCACTACAGGTCCAAGATAGGTGTTCATTTGCATATATCGTAGAGACAGAGGGCAGAGACAGGCTTATCCATGTGAATTGGTCTCTAGTCACTGTTTAACCCAGCTGTGTGGCACAGTTTAAGACTGAGTTTCACTGGAAATGAAAACATGAATATCGAAGAGCAGTGTCTAGATTTGTGCAATGTCAAGACAAAAAGCAACGTGGACGATGATCGCAACACTACCAACAACACAGAAGGGGTCACCCCCCGGATCTCTGAACTGATGACGGACAGTAACACAGAAAAACAAAACATTGTTCCCACAGAGGCCTCTGAAACCTACCTGATGCCTCAGCTCACTGACAACCTCCAGGCTGCCGAGGAGGACAACCACCAGCCACAAGACACACTGGAAATTGATGAAGTCAATGGAAACAGTGCCCAAAACACCCCTGCCATAGTGAATCCCACTGACTTGATCTTTTCTAACGATGACCAGCACAAGGGTGACACTGGGGAGGAAAAAATGAAGGAAGAGAAGGACAGTGATCCTGCAACGCTTGTGGAAGAAGGGGAAGATGGTGGGGACATGGACATAGGTGTGGATCTGAGTCTTGATGAAAGTGGGGTGTTGGAGGCTGAATCTGCAAATGTTCGATCATTTTCAGATAATACTTTAGACTCAGAGTCCACTCCTCAGGATGTCCCAGCTGGCAGCACGACAGAAAGCCAGTCAGATGCAAACCAGACGTGCAGCACAGAGGCTTCTGTCACGGACCAAGCTGGACTGTATCCCTCAGTGCAGGAGGAGGACGATAAACACAAACCAAGTGGCAAAAGGGTGACATTTCCCTCAGATGAGGATATCGTTTCTGGAGCAGTCGAGCCAAAGGACCCCTGGCGACATGGTAATACTTGTTTGTTTTTGCATGTCTGTATGTGCGAATGATTTTCTATTCATTCTAGTTGTCTGCTGTGCATGCATGAACATGTCAGTTCGCTATGGTTTGCCAGAATTTATTCTCACAGGGCTTTTAACTGCATTCCCCCACATCTAAAAAGCAGTTGCTCTATTCAGATTGGGTTTTGAAACGTGCCCTGTAATCGTGCTGATTTCATGTGGAGTCTAAACGTGATTGGTGCACGCCACGAGAGGTGTGTCGGTGTGCAGGTCTTTGAAAGGAATGTTCTTTTGTGTCTTTCTACAGAGCTTGTCATCTCTTGCAGGGTCACACTACAGGCTGTTTAGGCCTCAGGCAGCACCTGTGCCCCCGCCCCTTTTGCAAACAGGGGATCAAATGGACAAATACATGAAATAAAAGCTTTGTTGGCTTTTTATCCCCCCCCCAAATACAACTGTTTATCTATATATAGGCCCAGTCCTGTGATGTGTGCAGTATTGTGAGTGAATCCCAGCACTCCTTGAGGTGTGCCATTTTCCACTGTAGGTTCCTGTTTGTTCATTGAAGACACGTTGAGGGAAGCTCATGGAGGATACAGCACTGCCTTTACTGTGTTGACATAAGGTTACAATTAAATAAAAAGTTGCTCTTTTACACTTAGTTCTCAAAATAATATGTTTTACAACAAATGCTATTCATGTAAGTAAAGATAAAACTTTGTTAATCCCCTAGAGGTAAATTTAGCACAACAGCAGCATGAAAAATTAAACCAGACAGCTGGATATGAGGAGAATACTGATATATGGGGAAACTGCACACAGATGCATACAAACAGTTTGGCAGAAGTACTCTTTATTTAGGCATAGTGCTTGAATGTAAAGTATGCACAAAAGCAATTGCATTTTCTGCCAATCCAGATCAAATACCTACTGTATTTGGATATTGATTAGTACTTATATTTATGTGTGTGTGTGTGTGTGTATTTTTTTTCCTTTCATATATTTCATTTTCTTCTATTTTTATTTTTGATTACATTTTTTCCTTATGTTTTAGATCAAAGTCAGCTTTTCTGTTTTTGCATTTAGTGCCAACACAATGAAATCCACTTTTTATATAAAATGAAAGTATTCTTTGCCAGTTTTTAGTTAGTGTTATGAAGTCTTATTTGCTTTTACTGTTGTTGTGTTTAGGTTTTGGAGCCTAGTTTTTATGCATAGTTACTCAGCTTTAGTATTCAGTAATACATGTAATTCATGTGTGAATTTTTTGTTTGTTTGTTTTTTTGTCTCTTTTTGGAGGAGCTGGAAAAGTCAGTGTGTGATCATGATCTGAGCGTGACTCACACACTCCTTCAACTGGTGTGGACAATGCACACTATTTAATAAACCGGCCTACAGTCCTACTGTGAAAGCTGGTGTTTGCTCACAGCACTGTGACAGCAGTCGACATAGTTATACAGTTGACTTGAGTCCGAGAAGATGAGAAATTGTGTTACGTATACTGCCAGCCTTACAGTCTCAGTGTGGTGTGACCTGTGTGGCATTAAGGGTAAGACATCGAGAGTCCTGCTTTTTTTTTTTTTTTCCCTGGTGTATAAAACCAAAAATGTAGGACAGACTCAGGCAAAGGTCAGTGATGCGAGATGTCCAGATGGGGGATGGGGAGTAGAAAGAAGCACAAAAGCAGCAAGGTTAATATGCATGAGCAATACTGTCTCATGTTCAGCTTAATTTCCATTGTTCTGTTAACACCCCAGTTGCAAATGATCAGACAGTCCCTCACAAAGACAATTATGTTTTCCGTCATTCATCTGAACACGCGAGGTAGCAACACGTTCCTCTAAGTCGTCAAAATACTTTCCTTTTTTTATTGCATCAATTGCTGTGACGGTTGCTTTTCAAAATAGTTTTGTTATCAGATAACGGCACCGTTGCAGCACACATGCCAGGCATCCAGTCCGACTGTAAGTTAAACATGAAATATCTTTAGCCAGTAGGGCAAAGTCCAACCAAGTTATCCAAGTTTTCTGGGCCTTCGTGAAACACGATGGCCAGTAAAGTATATAGGTGATTGTAATGTGGGTTTAGATTGTTTATCAAGTGTATTTATCGTGTAGTTTATTTAAGTTCCAAAGGTCCAACTGATTGTGCTTTTGATAGAGCAGCAGACGGGCAGTTGGTGTCTGTGGAGTTAATCACATGATGGAGAATGTTCAGGTTTTTAATGCATCAAAACATATTTTTAGACCTGATACAATAATTTGGACTCCAGGAATTCAAACTCTCCAACTTTGATATGCTTATGTGATTTGAATACAGTTAATAAAAGTAGATTAAATTAATACATTTAGTGCTTGATTAGCAACTATTGATCACATTATAATCTAAAGAAATGCCAAAGATTTGCAGCTTTTCAAATAAGATAATCCTATGCCTTTCTTTGTCCTGCATGATTGTATACTGAATATTTCCCCAGCTGACTGGACAAAAACAGATATTTAGTTATTGTGATACATTTTGACAGTTTGACTAATTACACAGGACATTTCTCACAGTTTTAAAATATTTCTTAGTTACAACCTTAGATTGAAGTAATTTGGTTTGTCATCTTTATATTTGTGACTTGAGCCAGACCTTTAAATTGCTTGTCGCGGTCATAATTTTATTCAGCCACTCAAGTCACATAGTCTGCAATTTATTTTATACTTTATGCCGCATATCTGACTGTCATGTCAATGGTTTTACACATTCCTCTTGGTGGGACAGTCATACTTTTGATGGTATCTCATGTGGTCATGCTCCATCAAGTTTTAATCATATTGCACAGTGAATACTGAACTGAAACTTATATCGAAATGAAATTGCAATATCTGTCAGAGAAATTCCAATTAGATGCTTTTCCTTCATCATTCAGCTCTAGTCACACGTAGCACATGGTCACGCTAAAGTAAACATGGAGGCCACTGAAGTCAGTGTCTACACTTTAATTTCTAAGTTGATATGCAGTGGAAGCCAACGGAGGATAAGGAGAAAGTCAAATTTTGTTTTGATATGCTTTCAAACACAGACGGATGTGATGCGACCCCTGGAGGTTTGTTTGTACAGAAGTGTCACTCCAAATACTGATGAGGTCGAAAACCTCACTCTCCCTCCACTGACTGTATCGCAGTTGTTTTTCATGTATGTATTCACTGAGTGACTCCCACCAACGCAGGTGTGTGACTAATGTTGATCTAGAATGACGTATGAGTTGCATTATTTTCTGACTGTTCAGATTTGGGCCACCCCTAGTGATGTTTGAAAAGCCATCAGATCATTTAAACATCTGATTTTTATCAAACAGATGAAGATAATGGTTAAGGTGACCTACTGTGTCATTTGGCTTCGGCTCAGGTGGTAAAGTGAGTTGTTCACTAATTGTAGGGTTGGCGGTTCAATTCCTGGCTCCTCCTGTTCGCGTGTCAGAGGCAAGACACCAAACCACAAGTTGCCCTCAGAGACAGGCGAGCAGCTTGCAGGCCAGCTCTGCCAGAATTGGCATGCGAGTGCTTGTGTGAATGGATGAATAACAGGGACCAATTGTAGATTTCAAGTGCAGCCCATTTACCACAGATTAAAATTATCAGTTGTGAAAATAGGCACAAAGCTGGCGGCACACAAAAGTATAATCAAAGAACAATATGATGGCAGTTAGGGCTGGGCCATATCATACCGTACATGGTAATACCGGTGTAATGTTAGGGGATGATATGAAATTGGAATATCGGGATAAAATTTGAGTGAAACGCACATGCGCAGTGCCGTTGTTTTCATCCGGTCTAATGCACATGGAGTGAGAAGCATGGTGGCGACTGAGGAGGAGGGCAAATGCAGTGCATCACACACAGTAGGGCTGGACCCGAATATTGGAATAAGAAACTGGCTGCAAAGTTTTATGTTGCAAAGCAACTCGATTGTACTTCTGTGGATACTATGCATTGTTATGCTCAGGATTTGTAAGCCCATTTCCATTTCAAATGCCTTTTGATTGAACAAATTGTCAGCAAGCAGTTTACAACTTATGCACTATTGATTTGGTACAATATAGCTTAAATGCACATCAAAAACAGCTGCTTGCTAAATGGAAAAGAAACTGTTTTTTTATTTTTTTTATTTGCAACAATTCAGTTGTGCAGTTTGAAAGTATTTTGTCTAGTGTCAATTATATCGTCGGTTATATCGTTATCGCAAATTTTCTCATTTATATTGTGATAAATATTTTTGGCCATATCACCCTGCCCTTATGCCACTTCCAATGATTAGGCTTGATGTTCCCATTATTCTTTTTTACAGGAATCAAACCCTAGTAATTAATACTTGAGGTTTCATAAATAGTTGTTATTTTTGAAATTGTGGTCCAAATAGCTGCTTGTCTGTAAACTTCACAAAGCTTTGAAATTTACCTGCATATCTTTTGTTAGTCCTGTGTTTGCATCCATTTTGAGAGCCGTCTGAATCTCACGCAAAGCTCCTCAGGCTTCGCTAGGGATGAGCACAGTGCCACAATAGATCCACAATCCATCCAGACCCTTTATCTGCAGATCTAGTGTCAGGTTCGCTGGCTGCCTGTCTTATTTCATCTGTCAGAAACATCGGCAAAATGAGCTCAGAGAGCCTGGAGCTTCATCCAGACACAGTTACTGTAGTAAGAGCAAAAGAAAGAATATGTTAGATTGGTATTGAATATTTGCAAAGAAAGTAATAGCTGCCAGAAAGGGAGTGATGGATTCTGCCATTTAGAATAAACACCTGGAGCACAGGAGGGAACAGTCTCCAGGGGAACAATAGTAACCAGCTGGGGTTTCATATTTCCATTGCTTCCTTGGCATGCTTATTTTCCAAAATTGATGTCCAGTTCTGTGATATCAGCTAGTCGGCAATTTATGAGACTAGAAATAACCCAAAAATACCGACAAGCAGCTGTTCTTGGAGCTGCTCATGTAATATTTTACTGAAGAGCACACTTTT